TGTTAACATTTACTAATACTTGTTATATGACTGTAAATAATATAAAAAATATTAAAAATTAATTTTAGACAAATTTCTTTACACATTATTCTTTCACAATGCAGTCATTTTTACTGCTTTTCGGCAATATAGGTATATACTAAGTTTCAGTCTTTCTAGTGTTAATGACTATCATTTTGCCAAGGTTCAATGATGCCTCGGGAGACGCATTGAGGCTTCGATACGCGTTTTCTAAGCCATAAGTTATCACGGTTTCGGTTAGGTTCGTTAGGGGATCGAGATAACGTTGTTTCCCGTAAACGGACATAGGCGACGGGTTTTCTCCCGCGCGGTTTAATCGAAAACTTGCTGCTCGTTAATCTTCATATCTGTGCTCAAAAGAGATTTCGCTGCGGACTCTGATGAATTCACTGTGTGTGCCACGCATATATCACTCTTAATTGTCGCGTTTCTCTTCCATGAGGAATAGAAAATATTCAGGAATAAATTCGACGCATCCTGAATAAATGCTGCAAAAACATTTTCTAATTATTTAATCAACATTAATTTACAAGTACGAAAAGTGGTTGCGTATTTGATCATGTAGCCATATTAATTAACGGCATTCAGGAATCAATGACGGTGTCATCTTTCGCCTGACACGTGTACGTCTACGATGAGTTTGCATTGATGCCTTGTCGATACGCGCCACGAGAGAACCTTACACAAGTACGATACTTATCATCTCTCCAGGTGCGCTGATCCATTAGGTGAGGCTAGTAGCAATGCTCGCACGTTTCAGACGCTTCAGACAGTCAGTCCCTTTGCCACGTCAGTATCTGCCAGTCAGGCCAGACGCAGAGTGACTGACGGTTTCGCTAAGTCAGTATGCTACCGTATAGAACATTATTCAAATGCCACGGGATATGTACACACGGTGACACGACTTATTCATACGTCCCAACGTGCCGAGTCGATTTTTACAAATAACATTTTAACGAAGCGTCAGGAATTTTATTTCAAATTCACGTTTCTTCGAATTGTCTCCTCATTGGAGATGATTTATTTCGAAAAATAATCTTCGAGTTAAAGTAAACTGGATAATCGTCGTGGAAGTGCCACTGTACTGAGGAGCTCGACGGTATCCACTCATGCGAAAATTAATCTGTCAACTCACCTATTAATATGCATATATCCCCGTTAGACAAGATGGCTTGCCACAGCATCTATCGCTTCAAAGCATATCTTTGAGATATAAGTACCTGCGCGTCGCCTCAATTAATTCACGTTTCGAAATTGCGAATTATTGATATCGATAATGGCACAAAGAATTCATGCGATACGTTTCTACGTAATAAATAACTGATCCATTGTATAAAAAACACGGGACGTACGTCTGATGCTATGCATATTTTCACAGCTTCGTTATACGAGCACTTCAATATTATTAATACTAAACTCGATGTATCAAATATCATACAATTTTACTTGCATTCCCACGTGACGGATAGAGACAGCACGGAGATCCAACGCATCGTAAACAGTTTCCATGACGGATGTACATTATGTTAATAACGCGGGCGACACAGAAGAATGCGATATTAGTACCTGCACACATTTCTCGAATTGTTTTTCTTTCGACGTATATACACGTCTACCGATATAGGATGGGATATTCCGAATTCAGGAGACCGCGGAGCGCACGTCATTTTTGTCACATACTTTTGCTGCAAGTTTAATCTTTTAAATTGCGCTCAACATCTCTCTTTGAACAAATAGTAATCTCTCAGCTCGCGCCGTGTTTTAAGGCTATTCTTATGAAACAACAGCGTACAAGAGCAGGATAATAAATGTTATCTTTGTTTAGCAACCCGTTTTTTAAAACCTGCACGATCTGCGAATTATTTATTTCAAGCAATCTTCTAATTGGAAAATGAATATTTATGGAGGGTACACTCATTTTGCTTCGTTACTTTAATGTATCAGTCTTTGGGAATTTCTGAATCTAAGAAATAAGCAACGTCTGATCAATTATTGACTTGTACTACTTTATTTAGGACTTGTACTTCCTTCGAATAATTCATTTGATTGAAAAATGATCACTGACAGGGAGTATAGTAATTTTGTTTCGTTATTGTAGTATATCAGTCTTTGGAAATGTCTAAATCTAAGAAATAAGCAACGTCTGATCAATTATTAACTTGTACTACTTTATTTAGGATTTGCACTTCCTTTGAATAATTCATTTGATTGAAGAATGATCACAGATAGGGAATATAGTAATTTTGCTTCGTTACTTTAGCGTACGAGTCTTTGGAAATATCTAAATTTAAGAAATAAGCAACGTCTGATCGATTATTGACTTGTACTACTTTATTTAGGACTTGCACTTTCTTAGAATAATTTATTTGATTGATAAATGACTGTTGACAGAGGATAGCCTAATTTTGCTTCGTTACTTTAATGTATGAGTCCTTGGAAATGTTTGAATCTAAGAAATAAGCAACGTCTGATCAATTATTGACTTGTACTACTTTATTTAGGACTTGTACTTTTTTCGAATAATTCATTTGATTGAAAAATGACTCATTTTGTTTCGTTTCTTTAGTATACGAGTGTTTAGAAACATCTAAATCTAAGAAATAGGTTGCGTCTGACAAACTATTGACTTACACTACTTGTTCTCCACTAAGGATAATTTTACGTTGTTGTTTCTTAAAGAAGCTGCTAAATTTTATTTTATTCTGAGACTTTATGTATTAGAATGAGTTAAATTACTCTTTTGTACATTTGGTTTGAATGTTTTACATATGTTTTGTGAGGCGGAAGTCCGAATGGAGCCAATAAAGATAATACTATCACCGCTTGTTCTTCATTAATAAGTTAAATTCGCTGGAAAGTAGACCGGCAATATTAAAGAAATTGCTTAAGACAACTTTCATTGTTTCTCAGGAGCATCTCTCGTTCGGTTTTGGTAAAGCTCATTAACTTATCGCCCAGTGGCAGTTGACAGCGTCGTATTGCCGCGAGGACGACGACGATGCCTTTCGCGCAGGAAACAAGAGGAAAAGCGTGGGGAGTCAAGGAGAGGCTGAAAGTGTAGAAGCTTACGTTCTATAGCGTAATATTCATAAGTTGCAAGCGGCTTACGGTCCTTTCACTCCAATGTTTATGCGGTCGATATTTAAATTAACCGGCCACTCGAAAGAGTCTTCTCTCCTCGGATACGAATATTCTTGTCGCGAACATTCCGTACCCCCTCTGTTCCCCCGGCGCAATAAGCGTTTCCGCCTGTTGGCAAAAGAATCGCGAGAGAAATCGCGTTCTCTCACGCCGATCACGCCTTTCATCGATTCCGTTTTTACCCGCTATCAACCCGACGAATGGCGAAACGAATAAGCATCGCCCGAGCTTTCGCTTGCTCCATTTCGCTCCCGAGAAGAAAGTGCATTTTCTCTGCATTTCCCGAGTTCGCGTGTCCATTAATCCACCCCGTGATTCACGGCCAGTTGATTCAGCGCGAATTTCTATCAATCGTTCCCCAACCATTCCTCGACATAACCGAGGCTCGAACTCCCCCCCATGAATTTTTAGTTCTATATAATTGAATCTATCAACTTTGCGCGACGTCGTACACGTAACGTGATTTACATCGATGGTTAATTGGAAAACGATACAGTTTCTAACGAATTTCGAACGCATCGACGTTACTTCGTTAACGGGAATTCATTAACGGCGATCTTAAAGCGTTCTGAGTTACTGGGTCGCCGGGAGTAATTGATGCAACACAGGCTGCGGAGGACGCGCGCAAAATGTTGCACGTGTGCGTGCGCTCCCAATTATACGTCATTCCGCAGCACATTAATGGGCAGCCGAACAGCAATATCGATCCATCCTACCCACGTCCCTTTACCCATCGAAATTGACCGTCCGCGTTGCGACGTAAACTTTTTCCAACGATCGCCGCCCACGCGTTGTTAACTCTTCCCGGTGTCCAATAATGGCAAGACTTTGTTTGCGAACCTCCTCCTCCTCTACGTTCTTTTTCGAAGTTAAGTCGCGTCAATGAGAAAACGATCGAGGCATCTCATGAATTGTTTAAGTTCGCTCTGTTCCTCCGATAAACAACTGCCACGAGTCCTAATTAAAATGATTCGATCTTGAAACGCATCGCGTCCTCGTCGAAACTTTCTGATTCGTTCCAATTATATCGGGCAAAATCGCAACCACGGATCGATGGTTGGAGGTACATTGCCTTGGCGCACAGCGACCGTCACGACCGATTCCCCAGGCGAAGGGTTAATCGAGGGAAGCGAAACTGGGGGCCGATAACATCGATTGAAGATCCTCATGTTTTATTGAATACGCTCGTCGGGACGGGCGCGCGGGCGAGTGCCCTCCTCTGTGGAGCCGCGCGGGCGGCACTCGACCAGGAAAAGAAATCGTTTCATCGCCAACGACGCGAGGGGATTCCTCTTCTGCTCTCACGGTCAGAAGCGTGGGCGCGTGCGCACGCGGAATGACCTCGTTAGGGGAGCGATTTGATCCGTGCCTCTATTCCGAAAACCAGCCCTTTTACCCGATTCCTCGCCGATTCTTCTCCTCCACCCCCTCCCGTGTATCCTCCCGCTTTGACGAGATCTCGAGTGCCCCTCGTTCTCCAGACTACTCCTATTTGACGAGCTTTAAAGACTCTGATCTAAGCCGAATGGGTGCGCCTGCACCCAAGTGTCTCAGAAGGGTGCCGCGTCTCGTTCTCTCTTCTTCTTATTCTTCTTCTTTTTTTTTTTTTGGTAACCGTTGATTAAACGTCGAGTGTCTGCTTCATTAAACGTTTCATTTAATTCCGAGGAGCGAATGCGTTCCGTGGC